TTAAAAACTTTAAAAAATGTTCAAAGAACTGTGACAAGCCTGATGGATGTGAAAGCTAGACAGAGGCCTGTAGAAACTTCTGCCTTATCTATATAGCTTTTTGAATTATCCCCAATTGCAAGTCCACCTGTGATAGCAATTGTGGAAATTCTAGGATAGACTGGTTACCAACATTTTAATCATTCCCATCTAAACCCACTTGGAGTCAGCTTGACTAAGGACAGACATTACACATAAACTGGTTTAAAGTGATCAGAAACTGGTTTAAACCTGTAATACAACAGACATTCAGTGCACATAAACCAGTTTCAAAATGGCTGAAACTGGCTTTGAGATAAACTGGGTTGAATACAGTATGAGACTTACCTGATTAAGCTCAAATCAGTTTATGCAATGTCTGTCCCAGACCTCTTCCTGGTTTAAGTTAAACTAGAGTCCTCCAGCATCCCAGCATGCTGTCTGGGCTGGGCTGTGCTCTCTGCTCCAGAGCAGGGCTGGCCCCACCCCTCTGTTCTCTAACCCAACAGGGACAGGACGTGGCAAGATACCAGCTGGCATGGCCCCACTAAGGCAAAGTAGGCAAGGTGCCTGTCTGCCAGGGAGCAGAGGGGAGAGGGCTGCAGCAGTGGCTCCTGGGGCTGGCAGACCCCAGCTGTAGGCCAGAAGGGATGGAGGAAGGAAATAACCCTTCTCTCTGCCCCCTTTATCTTAACAGGGCCATGCTGGGATGGTTGTCCTGTGGGGTGGGAAGGGGGGCTCTGGTCCATGCTGGGAGGTGGGACTCTTCTCCCTAACCAGCCCTCCCCATGTGTGTAAGCACAGTGCCCAGAAGCAATAAACTCTGGTGCAATATGTGTCCAAGTTTATTGCTGTGCATTAATATGCATGTGTAGAAGTGCCCAACATGTGCTAATTTAGAGTAATAAAATGATCAAAATCGGAATGAAATATTTTGATTGACTAGATCTGAAATTTTTGGAAATTGGGTTTGTGAAAATTATGGAGACTTTTTTTTCTTCATTCAATTCAGGAAGGGAAAACACTTTTTAATATCTTGAATTTTAAAGATAAACTGGCTCCTCCTCACCTCCCTGCTGCAGCAGTTGCTCTGGACAGCAGGTAGGGAAGCAGTTCAGACAGGGAGAGCTGCAGCTAGGTGGGGGCAGGTAGTACGGAGTTGGGACTAGCAGGAGCATGGAGCCCATGCCCAGGGGGACAGTGGGAACATGCAGCTCAGGCAGGCAGGGTATGGGTGGAAGAGAAGGTGGGGGGCATGGGGACACCTCCACACACTCCCCCTATGGCACACAGCCCCCACTGCCAGCGGCAGCAGTAGCAGTAGGCGGGGGTCCTCAGGGCACTTGTGACCCATGCAGACCCTGCTGCCCAGTAGTGTGCAGCTCCGGGAAGAGCTGCACATGGTGGCAAGGAGAGCATCATCCAGGCTCCTTGAGGACTACCAAAAGGGGATGCTGAGCACTTAGAAATGTGTGTTTGCTTATTGGAAGAAACGCATCGTTCTGAATCATCTGATTATAAACAACAATGATGATGAAATAGATTATTGTATGGTCAAATCAAAAGTACAGTATATTTTGGGGAAAAAAATTCCAGCTATATATCCTCATATAGTTAGACAAGGAATATAAAAGTATTTTTGATATGTGACAGTGCTGACCAGCTTCTGTTTTTAGAGGTGTCTACTACACTATATGTTAACTTGTTCTGCAAGTGTAATGTCTAGTATGTTTAAAGGGAAAAATACAAATGGCTTCTGACATTTATAGAAATATCTACTTTTAGAATTACTATATTTACCTGAATATAAGATAAGGTCTCCCCAGTCAGCATGGGGAAAAAGCCCCTCATATTACAATTGCATACAAGGAAAATCACATTCAATGAACTGTCTATTATTAAACTGCTGCCAAAAGCAACATGTGTTTAGTACCGGAAATCAACTATGAAGTTGATTTAAATGCAGCCGACACTGAGCATGAATATAAAACACTGCCCTGTGCCTCATCTGCTTATACATTTTGGAGGATCCCAAGACTCATTACTAGAATACCTGGTTCTAGCCATGAATGTGTGTGGGGGGGACTATTTAGCGTGTAGAAACTTTGGGAGGAGGGGGGTATCTGGAGTGCACACACATACTGGGCAGTGCTGAGCCATGGCATCACCATGGTTTTAACACTGTCGACTCCGCTGGGGCCCAGCCCAAGGAACTACATGGCTTTGAACTAATATATCATGCATAGTTTGTCCTCTATATAAGTAGGTAGTTTGTCCTCTATATAAGTAGGTACAAAAGTGCTGCTTAGAAGTATGTTTGTGAAGTACGTGCGCTAAAACTTGCATCATTTTTTTAAAAAAAGGGATAAAACGTATCAACTCATTCATCAGTGTTTTCAAATTTACCCCTCACTTCCATGTCCTGAGGAAGAATGGGGTCTGACAGTAGGGTGGGGGGGGAGGGAGGAGGAACTGAAGGGGCTGTAGGGGGAAGAAGCAGAGGGGAGGAGGGGGACCAGATGGCAACAGGGCCACCTGACTCACCCAGATTTATTTTCCCTGCTGTAGTGGTGGGAAGGGGAAAAAATTAGGGCAACCCTCCAATAATTAGATTCTATACATGGAAAATTATAACAAATTTATAAGCTTTCCAGATATAGAATCTAATTATTAGGGGTATTATCTTATAATCAGGGTCATCTTATATTTGGGCAAATGTGGTGTCTCATTCCTAGGCCTTATCATCAGTTAAAAACAGAAGTGAACCAAAGGCCCAGATTCAAATACTATTGAATGTTGAGGTTTAAGTTGGAGATGAAGCCAGATGTAAATTTTGGCCCATATGTTAATTACTGTAAAACCACAGAGTTAGTGTTGCAGCCAACTTTGCCTTTATATTACAACAGCTTTGGGGTAAGGGAAAACAAAACAGAGTACAGCAGAACCTAAATACTTTTCAGAATTAGAGTCCCTACCTTACTGTGAAGATGAGAGTGTGTGAAATAATTGGGGTATAGAGCCACAGCAAAAGGGCTGTACATGGCCACTGAGGGCCTCGTGCTGTTTTTTGTGGCTTTATTTCAAAGGGTACAAGAGGCAAGGATTTCTTAGGGTGATATCTTTAATTGGATCATAGCTTATTGAATGATAATTGGTCCAATAAAAGATATCACCCTAAGAAATCCTTGTCTCTCACATACTTTCTAGATCATCACAGCAACAACACTGCTCTTACACTACCATTTCAAAGGGTACCACTTCTCCAGCCAGCAACGCAAGACTTCTGGTTGGCTCTAGATGTATGGAGAAGAAGTATCCTGGGAAGTAAAAGCCCCAGCAAACAGCTGCGCAGCTTATTCTGAATTCAAAAATTCACTACACTGATCCAAATTAAGCAGGGTGAAACCATCCCGATAAGAAGGCTCCCGGTTCTATTACATTCGTCCAAATATCTGTTCTCTTATCATATGCTGCTCTAACAGATCCTCAGACTTTAATCACATAGACTATAAGCAGACGTTGCATTTGTTGGGGGACTGGTTGTGCCACAACTTGTTCTGGCATGGAGAAGTCACAGGGGTGGCATATGTACAAGTTACACTTCCACTGGGGTTGAAAGAGTGGCCAAAGGTACTGCTGCTCTTCTGTCAGCAGGTGGCCAGAGACATCACACATCCCAGCATGCCTTACACTGGTCAAATTTCTGAAGTTTCCCCTAACTGAGCAAACAGCCCACTGGATGTTCCAACTGTGTGTGGCAACATTTTTGGGGACAAATTTTCATGTGATTCACTATGCAGCTGGTGCCCCTGACCACCTGCCTGTACGTCTACTACATCTGTGCTTCCACCCCTGTTAAGTGCTATGGCTCTGGATATGGTCATCCCCTTGCAGCTACAGGTCAACATATTGTGGCCAGGCAGGTGTGGGAGGAGCTGCAAACTGTGGAGCAGTGATTCTAGGCTAGGGCACTGGTGACACGTAGGAGGTGCACATGGGTGCACGTGCACTCCCTGAGCATGGTGGTGCACCCCTGTGAAAAGGTGCTGCCGGTCACCAGTTATCCCCCTTCCCCCCACCCCCTGCCGTCAACACCACAGGCGGTGTCAGCAGATGGTCCGCGATTGCCACTGGCCGCCACTGGTGGCAGCATTTGCGGGTGGTTGCTGACTACTGGTTAGCCTTCACCACCCTCCTCCCTGCCGCCAACAGCTCCGTGGCTGCCTGCTCATTGCTCACCACCACCATGCTCCCGCTGCCAACAGCGCCATCGCTGCGTGCAGGAGCTTGCTGTGCCCCCCCCCAGCCTCCAGGGGCATGCAGCATTCATGGGCCAGGGAGATGAGCAGTGATTGGTGGGAGTGGATCCTAATGGCTGCTGGGAATGATGAGCTGTAGTGTGCAAACTTCCACATGTTAAAGGGTACCTTCATGAAGATCTGCACTGAGCTTGCCACAAATACAGTGGGAAGCAGTGGCAATGTGGGCATCCTTATGCTTGGAGAAATGTACTGCCAGCACTATATGGAAGCAGCCCTAGACTACCTGTGGTCCGTGGCAAACCATTTTGGCATTGACAAGTTGACAGCTGGAGAGGCAATGCAAGAGGGGTGTCTAACAATGACATCATGGGATAACCATTTAGATGTCCTTTGTGATAATGCAGGACAAACTGTTAATACCTCTTATCCCATGAATCTTTTCGGGGCTTTATCCTATGCCAAGTGAGAAGGCTGTCTGAACACTGCACTTTGTCCCAGGAGAAAACATTTTCTCCCTCAATAAGAGCAATGTCTGTTTGTAGCTATAGTTTATTGGGGTAGGTTTGGTTGGATGTATTCTAAAGGTTGCAAGATTTGTGGTGGTAGACACTAGTTTTTGAATGAAGTCTCCTGATGCATTCAATTTTGCTTGTAATGTACAATAATAAAACCTGGAAGCTGATTTTTTTAACAACTCTCTTTTTTCTTTTCTTAACACAGATGCATCACAGATGAATAATGTGGTACCAACTTCTCCTCTCCTCCCTCAGATGTCACATCCGCATTCATATCCCAACATGGGGCAGATCACAAATCCTTATGAACAACAGCCCCCAGGCAAGGAGCTTAACAAGTATGCTTCCCTAAAGGCAGTTGGTAAGCAAGAAAAATATCGTATGTTCTTCATTTTGTTTAGGATATTTCATACTCCAGTGTCAAGTAACATTCAGCTTCCAAGTAAAAGAAAAACCATGCATTTTGGTCTGCTTAGTTACAGTAGCAGACAATGGCTCAAATTCTATTGGAATTCAACTGGGAATGTATTCTATAAATTAACATGGATATTACTTACCAATTAGGGATTGTGAAATTACATCTAAGTATTGCAGATTTAAACACTCCAAGGACACATATATGCATGTCATATATTCAGTTGGTAAACCTATACTGCATTCAGAAGCCCTGGATTTGCACATGCAGATCAATTACGCTCTGAACAGGTAGTATGCAATTAACCAGAAATATAGTTTTAAAAATTATGCTTTGTACAAAAATGACATGTATGTCTGTGCAACATTAGAGTCTACAATCTAGGTGCTTTCTGTGTGCAACTGAAAAAAAGAATGGCCTTTGTTGTAGAGGTGTACATCAGTACGCTACTGGTGCATGACCTAGTTGTATCATGAGGCCTTATGCTTTTAACCATCTCAGAAGTGCACTTCTCAGATTCCTAATGCAGACTCCCTCATGGCTTTTTGCTGTTAGTGTGACTGATTAATTTTATATTTCTTTCCTTTAAAAAATGAAAAAAAAACAGTTCTTGAAAAAGCAGTTTTGTTGGAGGAGGAACAACGAGGAGTGAAGTTTACAGTGTACCCTTCCATTATGGAAGTTAAATCCTTAGTACATTTTAAGAGCTTTAAAACCCATAGCAGAGCACTTACAGAGCTGACGCTTTTCTCACTTCATAATATCTGTCCTCGTTTAGACAACGACAACGACAACAACAGCAACAACAACAACAATAATAAACTAGGGATTCAGCTCCGTCTTAGCTTTCTACCAAGCTTGTCCAGCATACACATAGTGAAAATAATACCATTTCCCCCTAAATTTAGAACAGCATCATAGATCCTGTTTTCACATAGCTAGCTAGCTATCTCAAACTAACAGTGGAACACCTGAGAATATTCTTACCCTGAATCTATCAGTCACCATGCCAGAAGAATCCCTTTTACACGGGCAAAAATGGCCTGCCCAAAACTTTTTTTTTTTCTTAAATTGTATCTCAAGCCAATTACCGAAATCAGTTCTGAATTCTACTGACTGAGCAGAGCTTAATTGTTCAAGTCTGTGTGATACTACCACTGACAAGTATCCTACCTCCAAGACTTTTCAGCCCGGGTCTTCAGATACTCCCAAATCCATGGCATGCATCCTAGGTACAAGCCCCAAGGCCTTAGAGTTATATGCCCCCTCAAAGGTTCCTCCTCAAATGCAGGGGCATTGGTACACATGGTCATGCTGTAGCACTGGACCTGCAACACACGCATTTGTGTAAACGGCAAAATTAGATTCTACGCCTGCAAAATCCTAAGAATGTGTCATAACAATGTGTCAGCACCGAGAAAATGGTGGCGGTGCACTTCTGAATTAAGACACATCAAAGGTATTTTAGTTCAAAAGTGCACTGCCACCATTTTCTCAGCACTGACGTGCATTTCGCCATTTTTTACACATACATGCGAGACAGTGCTGGGCGCATCAGCTCACGTCAGAGCAGACAAATGTATGTGTATATATGCCCCAGGTTTCCATTTTATTTTTAAACAAGTTTGCTTTAGTTAACACTTTTTAAATCTGAAAGTAGGTCCTTGCATAGCAGGCATAATCAGGAACATTGTTTTCCTTCACAGTTCTGGGTGAATATACCTAGAATGGGAAGAGTAGTTTGACAAATTCATCTGCCTTCAAACCAGTGGTGCCTTGCCATGAGGGAATCATTATGGCTTTGACATAAACCTATCTTTAAATTGCCTGTTTATAAAGTGCCAACCCTTGTAGCTAAACATAATTTAAGTGCAATAAAATGGGAGGTGAAAGATTTAAAAATGAGCTCTACTCTCACATGCACAAGAACCAGTCTTGATTTTTTAAAGTATCAGCTTAGCTTCAGTTATTAGGGACAGGTGATTAAAAAAAATGTATTGCACAAGGTTCTGGGAATGGTTATATTATTCCTGGAAGATATTCCACAGATTAAGTCCCAATGTAACCAATACTAGGAAAGAGAGTCTTTATTCCCATTTACTGGCTGATCCTTGTAGGAGGTTAATGAGTCTGCTGCAATCTCAGGTAGAAGAAATAGGCCCTGATTTTTGAGGTACTTAAGGAACATACCTCCGTAGGCATTAATGACTTCACTTAAAATTTTAGTAACAATGAGGCTTCACACTGTTTTGACAATCAAGGTGAATATGTCATCAGTAAGAGAGATAATGATGAGTATTTTTAAAGTAGAACTAGAGAGTTTCACTATCCAACTACTCTGAAACCTAAAAAAAGAATTTTTGGCCTCAACCCACAAGAATTGAAAACATTACTCTATCACTGATACATTGTATTCTGACAGATACAAAAGAGACTGAATAATATTTGGTAAAAATATCAAATCTCTCATCAACATCAGTAGGCCTTCCACATATCTATGTGGAAGAAATTACAGTCTCTTGTATCTAAATATGATGAAGAATGACATAATTTTTTTAAAAATTGTCATAAGAGCAATTTAATTTGTATTGCCTGCAACAGCGTAAGAGTCAAAAGTAGAAAGGAGTCATTTGCCCTTTCTAGATGGTTAGGTGTTATGGGGGAAAGGGCTCTTTTCATCTATATTTGATTGAAAATTTATTTCTTAAAATATTTAAATTATGAGATTTTAAAACCTTTAGATTAAGAAATCCAGGGCAAAGTACAAAAGCTTCCAAACAGTGAAGTTGTAACTACTGACAAATCAAATTTGAACAACTGTAAGGTTGGTATTGCATCTCCTTTCAACAGCTATGATTTTAACCTTAATCTAAGCAAAACTTCCAAATGTGTAGATACTCACTCCCACTTGGATTATACAATGTTACATTGCTTTTGGCAATCACTTGGAAAAAGCTATCCTTTCATGCAGAGCTATGTGATCTGCTAGCCTGAGATCATGTTAAACAGTTTTCAAATCCAGGTGCAACTCAGGGTATCAGTTGTTACCCAAAGCTGTCTTTTAAGCAAAGATGCCACTGGCGTATACAGAGACTCTGATGCTGTCACACATTTACACCAAAGTCTGCCTTTCATCTGGGTGTAAACAGCCATACTTAAATTATAAAGTTACTTAGATTCTAATCACTTCAGTTCTATCACTTTTATTTTTCCCTTAGTGTTTGCTGACAAGTGGTTTGAGCATTGATCTAATTACCTCTAGCAAAGAGATGTAATTAGAATCACAATAATGAGTGTGGTTCTCCTCTCTGTGCTACATAGAAACTACCCACAGTTGTTTAAGTGTGGCTCATGCCACATGATCTCTTCCATAGAAATTAATTTGTAGTGTTAATATTTCCTCCAAGAAGGACAATCACTCTAATACCAGTATAATAAAGCAAGATTAGTAGTAACCAGGATTATGATATGTAAGTATCACCAATCATCAAACAGTCTTAAGAGTTAAGATGTTTAGAGACAACTGAACACAAGATGTGGTACCAGCTGCAATGTTAAAGTAAGTTCGCGAGGTAAGGCAGCTGCTTTCTTTTATACTAAAGATTTTGTAAGCTTATTTTTAGGGGTCAACCGTTCCATTCTGTTCATATTAAATCTCATGGCTCCTAGTAATTCAGGTCACAAGATGTTGTAGGTTTGGAGACAAGGTCGGTCTTAGGAACATAAGACCTGCTAAAGGGGAACAGTATTACGGTTATTAATTAATTATGTGTTAAAAGTCCATGGAGCACCTGACTCAGCAGAGAGAGAGAGAGAGCAACCAGGGTTGAAAAGGCCAACATTGAAACTATATATTTTATTTATATAGTAAAAGATTTTACATGAACAAATTCAAAGAACATATACAAATGCATGTTTCCTGCCTAAAGTCCTGCAGGTTCAGTGGACGGAAAGCATTTTTCTTCATTTCCTGTTCCTAGTTGCTGTGCAGGTTTTGTATTTGTAGCACCCTGCAGAAATTAGAGGCTAAATTCACCCTTCTCCCACACTTTGTGTTGTCATTTACAGCTGTGTAAAATGCTACTATTACAGGGTGAGAATATTTTATACTTTTTTCACATTTGTAAATGATTATTTAAAGTTTAGGATAATGGTGAATTGCTCCTGTAACAGGGGGCCTTCCCGAGGCCAGTTAGAAGGTGGCCAGCCCACCTGTTTCTGGGCTAACCACCTGCCTCTCTCTCTCTCTCATTGTAACATGGAGCCTTCCCAGGGCCGATTAGAAGTTAGCCTGTCCACCTGTTTCCGGGCTAACTGCCCACCTCTCTCATTGCCATGCTTTGATAGAAAATGATTAAGATATTACCAAGGCAGGAGGCTGGCCATTTTCTGCCCTGATGCCAGAGGGCATTGTCTGCAGCTCTGAAACCTCCCCTACACCGCAGCCCATGCCTCACAGACAGCACCTCAGTTCTTAACATCTCTGGCCCCACACTTGGCTCCTTAACACTCTAGTCTGGACCCCAACTAGACCCCTTCCCATCAGGTGGCCTACTCCACCCTCATTATGGGCTGCTTAGCTCCCTGCACTCTTCCCGCTTTCGGGTATGGCTCCTACGGGACCTTTGGCCACACAGGCCCTGGCCTCACCTCCACGGCCAGTCGGAAACCCAGGCCCTTGGCTCTGGGCATCCCTCACAGTGGGCCCTTGCCCCTTTTTGAACCTTCTGGTCCTGGCCCCAGCATTGACCAGTCAAGGGTGCCTCAAGTCAGGCTTCTGAGCAACCAGCCCACACTCTTTTACATGGGTCCTCCTTCTCAGGCCCTACTACAGGGTTACCCACCCAACTGTGGGAGCTGGGGTTATTAAGGTGCCCCAACCTGCCTTTCACCAGGGTGGTAAGTGGTCTGGCATTTCCTGGGGCCTCCTGTGCTACCAGGAGCCC